TCATGATTTATAATGCATAAAGTATTCTAAAAGTCATGCGTCTATACATATAGGAGCATCTCATATATGCTTTGTGTGCATTTGGACATGTTAGGAAACTTAGGTCTGCACAAACATGGATTAGGTGGACCAAAATGTGAGCAAAACTCGTTTTTGGAAGTTTAAAGTGTTTGAGTCGACTCAAAGCCCTACTTAAGCCGACTCATGAAAGTTAATTTTCACTCTTTTTCTCTCAGGTGTGCTCGCGTCGACCCTTTGGTTGACTCATACTATAACCATTTTAGTTTGTCATTTTGAAGCAAGCTTGCGTCGACGCATGACCTTGTTCTGGTCGACACATAGCTTAATTTTTTACATAGTTTTGCATTTGGGTGTGCTCAGGTCGACCGTTCGCTGTCTCGTAAACAATTTTTTGATCTGCTATGTTTTAAAATGTTGTTATATTTGTTAGTTGGTCAGTGCATCATATATATTCATTTTGTCTCATCATTTGAACATATAACAAGAAAAGTGAAAGATATACACTGAATTATTCTCATCATCTTCATCCTCATTCTTGCATTTTTCTCAACAATTACACATAACAATTTTTGTTGATCTTTTGCATCATTGAGGTGATAACGTCCAAATATAGGATTGTGTACCTAGTTTAGGTTGAGATTTCAGTGGGTTTTTCTTGAATAAAGCCGTTAGGGTTTTTTCCTCCAAGATCTTGAGGATTTGGGGGTTTTTGCACAGATTTTTACTTCACAGGTTCAGCAGAGTGAAGGGGATTGAAGAACGGTGGATTCGTTCAATCGAGTAGCGTTAATCAGAGGATTGTGCAAGAAATATTTAGGTTCAAATGGTGTGTGATCAAAATCAGCCGAGTGAAAGGTTTCAAGACCGGTGGGGTTGTTCAGACAAGTAGTGGTAACTGGAGGTTTGTTCAACACGTTCGAGGCACTTGATTCGACTTGAATTAAGGGGATAAAAGACATAGTATCAACATCAAGAAATAGGCTTATGTGTGTGGTGACTATTGCTTCTCTTGTATAAACCTTTGCAACAAGATAATATATATCTCAATTCTAGTTTCTAGAATTTAGGGTAGGTGTACCCTAAGCGAGGACAAAAGGGGAACTTCTTAAACAAATCTAGTGTTGTTCTCTCTTTCTCTATCTCTTTATTTTGAATTGTTTACGTTTGTGTAATATCAATTTATCGATAAAATTCTGCTGTAGTGTAGTGCTGAAAATCTGGTTTGAAAACTCATTACAATCACTTGGATTGTAATTGCAAAAATTATGCACTTACATTACATACGAAACAACACTTGGGATGTTTTTCACATCAAGTATTCGATGAATTGATCATACACAAACTGTTTGTTACATTGTCTACTTAAGTTTAAACTTTATAGGTCATTGGAAATTGGACAAACTAAAGTGGTATTATTTATATTGATTAATCATCAAACTATTGATTTTGTTTCTCATTAGAATTGTTATTCCATTTGGCTTATCGCATATCCAATATTTTCGATAATGGTTTGTTTAGACGACTTGGTTCCTCGGCTGCCTCCGCATAATTTTTTTAAGCGCTGATTCTTGTAATAAATTAGCAATCTATTCAACCCCCCTTCTAGATCATTGTCATTGTCTAACAACTATTATTTTTAATATATATTTTTAGTGGCATGTGTCACATATCTGATTGTATGAGCAGGTTTATGTTGAATAGTAGCATCTTGAATGTTTAAATTACTCTGATTTTTATTATAAGTTACGCCGGGATAATTAGGGTGTTACACTTTAGCACTTCCTTGATACAATTTGGTATGACTAGATGTGAAGCGGGTCACCCTGCTTTCTTCCTCCATTCCTCCTAGGGATGGCAACGGGGCGGGTCGGGGGCGGGTTTAACTATACCCGCACCCGCACCCGCCTCCATGTAACAGACCCGCCCCCGCCCCCAAATCCAATCGGGGGTGAAAATTTATCACCCAGACCCGCCCCCAGTAGAAAACGGGTGCACCCCCACCCGCCCCGCCCCCACCCGCAATAAATTATTATTTTTTTAATTATAATAAAAATTAGTAATTTAATTAAAAAATTGATTATTTTAATAAATTAATTAATTATTTAATTAAAATTTTAATTAATAAATGAATATTAACTTGATTAATTTTATTATTTTAATTGCAATAAGAATATTAATAACTTAATTAAAAGTATAATTAATAAATAAATATTAAAATAAATAAAATAAGGAAATCAAAATAAAATATATTATTTGGGGCGGGGGGGTCTTAGTGTCTACCCGCACCCGCACCCGCACCCGTAGTTAAGAACCGGGTTTCACCCGCACCCGCACCCAATTAAATCGGATTTCCCCCGTTAATTTCGGGGCGGGCCCGGGCGGGTGTGGGCGGGCCCGGGTTTGTTTGCCATCCCTAATTCCTCCACAGGTCAATGCATCTTTCATGTGGTCAATGCTGATGACATTGTTATCATTGGAGACGATACGAAAGGTATCCAGTGACTAAAAACTCATCTTTTCAAACACTTTCAGACAAAAGATTTGGGTCCACTCAGATACTTCTTAGGTATTGAAGTTTCTCAGTCCTCATTCGGCATTGCAATCAACTAGTGCAAGTATACCTTAGACATTCTCAATGAAACTGGTATGCTTGATTGTTGTCCTATTGATACTCCTATGGATTCCAACGTCAAACTTCTTCCGGATGAGGGGGAGCTATTGAAAGACCCTGGAAGATATCAATGGCTTATGGGAAGACTCGACTATCTTACAGTTACCATATCAGATATTTTATTTGTAATGAGCATTTTGAGCCAGATTCTTAATGCTCCTTGTAATAGTCATTGGGATGTAGTCATTCAAATTCTTAGATATATAAAGAATGCACCATGAAAAAGACTATTATATGAAGATAAGGGTGATCCAAAAATCATTTGGTATTTAGATATAGATGAGGCGGATCACCGTCAGATAGAAGATCTACATTCGAATAATGTGTTATGATTAGAGGTGATATGATCTATGGAGAAGTAAGAAACAAAATACATTTGCACTATCTAGTGCTGAAGTTGAATATCGTGTTATGGAAGCAACTTCAAAGGAGCTTGCATGCTTGAAAAATTTACTCTCAAAAAAGATACGAGATCTTCAAAACATAATACTCATATGCAATTATCAAGCAGCACTCCACATTGCACCTAATCAAGTTTTCCATGAACGAATCAAGGACATAGAAATAGACTGTCATTATCTAAGGAACAAAGTATTATCAGGAGAAATCACCACAAATTTCGTAAAATCCAAAGTCCAATTAGATGATATGTTGACAAAGTCTCTTAAGGGTTCTCAAGTGGATTACATTTATAATAAGCTCGACTCATATGACATATATGATCCGACTTGAGATGGAGTGTAAAAAATATTTATATATAAAATAGTCCCACGTCAACTATAACATGTAATTCGTTATAAACTCTCTATATGTAATATAATCTCCATAATTCTTTTTAAACACAATTTATTGAAACGTCTCTCGCTCTCTTATACTTCAATAGTGTTCAATGGTTTCTTAAGGAGGGGATTGTGGAGCATCTTTGAATGGTGCGGAAATAAGTGGTGGGGGAGGTTGTAGAATTGAAGTTTTCTAAAAGATAAGGAAATCATTTGTTCGTCTTTAAGGATCCTAGTTAATTTAGACACTTTCGTAGGCGATAACTATTTGATATGTTGAGTGTGTTAGTGAAATATTTGAATTGCTTCCTATGTTTAACATCAAATGATTTAGTATTGGCCTTTTTGGTTCACACAAAGAAAAAGAATGTGAATTAATAAATTAGTTAAAGGTTTTGGGGCTTCCATAACTCCAACTTAATGATGACAAATGAAATACCTGCAAACATTTTGATGCTCGAATAAGAGAGGAGAGGACCAGTAGTAAAAGATTTTGGGGTTAAAATAGTTTGCTATTTATTATTTATAGTAGAATTCTACATTATTTTAAGGACCTACTAAGACTAACAAAAATTAATTCTAATATTTTGTCAAAAAATTAAATTAAATCAATGCTAATAGTCATTTATAGACATGCTCCCCACCAAAAATGGAAGAAACGCTATTTGGACAAACATATGTTTAGGCTTTAAGTATGCAATATTGATTATATTGGCATCTAATGTCACATTATTGCAAGGTGCTATGTCTATATTATCATGTTCACATGTCAATGTCGTTGGGGTCTAGCAAAATGAAAAAATAAATAATAAAATGGAAGAAAAAAAATACACATAACTTTGATATTGCATCTGTTCTACAATAAGTGATCTAGTTGATTTTTAATGTAGATTAAAAAAATAAATAAAAATGAGTGATATTTTTATTAAAATATTTTTATCATGTATTGAGAATGATAAAAATAATATTAATTAAATAATAAAATTAGAAAAAAATATATATTAAAAATTAAAATAAATCATTTATTTTGAAATACTCATGAAACTGACGGAATAATTTAAATCTAGTGCCGTGTATTGGTGTTTAAAAGACACAATAGGACACGTATGTATGTATGTGTTGGCTTTCTGGTGTTAAAAATTGTTAGTTTGTGCGTTTTGTAGTGGTTTGTGCCATATCTGTAATATTGTTTTTTCTTGTCCCCTTTTGTTCTTAAATAACATTTAGTAATATATTTCGTTGCTGTAAAATCAATAATCATAAAACATATAGTACATGATGTCATACATAAAACTGAAGATCCTGGTGATTAAGCTTCGGAAAAAAAATCTTGATGATGCCCATGATTTTCTTTAATTCAAACTGAGCCAAACACTAATTACAAAACTTATCAACCCAAATTAAAAATTGTCAAAAAAAAATTTAGAATATCTACAAACAAACCAGTAAACTATGAGTAAAGTTTGCCGAATCATGTCCTACATATGAATTGATTTGTGTATAAGATCTCTCTTATTTGAAATTTATATCTACATTTTCCCACATATCAATCCGTATACTGTAATCAAAGCCATTATAAGAGAGTGATCTGTGCCAGCTTCTAAATCCAAAGTTAGAACATCATTACTCAGAACAATCCCTGAACATGACTCTTTTTGCTTTGCCTCTGCTATGATTTCTCCGTTTTTGTTTACTATCCGAAAACCAAATGATTTTCCATTACTCATTCTTTCTATGCACAAATTTTGGGACCCGGCTTTAATCTGGCATGCTGTTTTCCCTCTGAGACATCTCTTAACTTGAAACCATGGTTGCTCCTCTTGACTTCTGCTATTAGAATTGCTGCTGTGATATTTGTGTCCTTCCCAACATCCAAAAGCTAGTAATCTCTTTTTGATAGTGCAGAGAACATTGCCTTGTAGATCCATGAGGTTAACTTCTCTTCCACCCTTTGTATCATAGTTATCAACTCTATAAACTATGTTACCATTTGAATCATACACAGTGCAACCATTAGAGTGAAGAACTAGTGATTTCATCCATAAAGTATATCTCTCTCTTTTATTACTGACACACTGATTATCATGAGACTGAGATGATGTCGTGGATTCTTGATTAGGATAAATTTTGGCCATTCTTTGTTGCTTGATTGTAATATTCAAGATGGTGCTTCTAATGAATTGGTATATGTTGAAGAAGAGTTGTAAGCACCTTATTTATATGCCTATTTCTATTGTAGGCCCAACAAACTTGGTTGCTTCTTGGAGATACCTTTTGGAGATAATTGAGTTGAATATGATAGCACTCGTGGAAAAAGTGCTTTAAATACTGACGTATTTTCAAAAGGATTCTTATGAGTTTTTTTTACTAAGCTAATGTATCCTAGTTATATATATGTAAGGGCTAGATATCGATACTTTGTTTAAATAGACAAAAGACTCAGATATCTACCACTTATATCATACTTTGTTGATAACTTTTTCTATACTTAAAATACAATAAGAACTTCACGTATATAAACCTTAATACATGTTTCAATAATCTTTTATGTTGATCGGACTAATATGTGCCATATAATAAAATTTTATTTATGACGTGTGCTCCTAGTTGTTAGATATGCACTTAGTTTGCTCTTGTCCATTATTAGAGGTATGTTGTATGTGTTGAGATTGGCATCTCCTTGGTGGAAAATTGTCTCATTTCTTGGCTATAATATAGTTGCTCGTTCTAATTTGTTTGCGAAAAAAGGTAGATTTTGGTCTTTCAATCTTTTTTTTTTAGATTGTTAGTGGGTTGGTCAAAACCTTTTGAAGACCATTTTTCTCAGGATCCATTAGATGTTTTTACAACAAAATATGAAAGAAGGGAATGAGGCCTGTCAAAAATACTATTAGAGTTTATGACTAATTTTTGTAGGCAAGTTGTTAAGCATGATGTCTTGACTTGTTGCGAAACATATTGCCTCTGAATAACTCTGGCGCGCACTCTCAGACTGTTTAACTATGGCTTACACTTACTAATTCGCTTCAGATTATATTCTAAGATTTGTTTCCTCTTTAGTTCTATTAGAAGTTTACAAAGTTTTCGTTTTGAAAAATCTTTTTATTCGAAATCGGTTTAGTAAATTTTTTTTACCAAATCATAAATTTGCTTTGAAAAACATTTATTTTGATTTTGTTTTAATGAAGAAGATTATATTTGTTGTTTCTGGGATTTAGTCTATTTTTTTTTATCTAATCCAACTAAGCTTTTCGACGGGATTACTTTCTTTATTTAAGAAGATAGTTCTTCTTGTTTGAAGATCATGGTCTTTGAAGTCTTGTGCGCGTTATATTTTATTGAGTCTTTGTATTTTTCATTGTAATACTCTATTCTTGAGGGTCTTTCTATTTTGGAAGGATAAAACATTTAGTCTGTAATTATGATTTGAATCATGTCACATATATTTTTTTCTTATAAACACTTGGGAGAGTGTTTGAGTGAAAGTTTAAGGATCTCAGATTTAGGGAAAGCCTAGGTTTGAAACTCCTAAGAAGTATTAGGAAAAGGGCCATGAACTATGATAGTTCATATAAGACTGTCATGTACTATTGACTAGTTGAATTATCGAATTTCTTTTCATTGACATAAATCCCTTCAAAGGTATGTGATGTTGCACTAAACTAGGTTACCAATTACCTATGTTAGTTAATTTGATTATTTGTTCTTTGCTCCTTTTAAATCATATTGTCTCCCAATTTGTCTCAACATCGCATGTGACATCTTGTCGTTGACCTTTCATGGAATATGGTATTAGGGTTTGGGATTAAAAGTGGAAGAATGACCAATTCGTTTGTGTAATCTCTTTCTTTTAATCTAAGGTATTTGTTTTTCCTAGGATTCAGATCTTTGGTAGTGAAGTTATAGAAAGAACGATTTTTACTCCCTTAAGGTTTGGTTTCCCTTTCAATGGTTGTGTTGTTGGTGGTGGTCTGTTAGTGATTTTTTATAATTATCTTTTGAGTTGGTTAGGAGCTTTCACCCTTGTGAGAGAAGTAAGGATCTTGGGTTATTGTTTTCTTAATAGGAGATTTTGTTTTAGTTGTCTCTTATTCTTCTTTTTTGTCTTTTGGTGTGATTCTTGTTTTATTGGTTTTATTCTTGCTATGTTATGTATCGTTGGTACATCTTCACCTATTTGTACATGTGGCTTTAGTTTTTTTTTTTCTTTTATCTATGTTTATTTTTTTCCATTCAAAATAGAAGTTAATTATCGTGTTTTTTTCATGAAAAAAACAAAATGAAAATATGAAGTTTAGACATCCTAATCTACTGAAGTTAGTACTTAAATATGTTTTAAAAGAAATAACATATTATCAGTCAATTAAGACAATGTCTAACATGCATTGTTAATAAAATCTTTCTAAATGATATGATCATACGACCTTCCTAGATCTAATTGAGTCCTAAACTACATGTACCTTTTACCTCTTAATATTCCCGACCTAATACTTTTTCTATGGCTAATCCATGAAGGAAACCAATAGGGAATGATACATATGACCATGCTAATCTTCAACTTCGCATGTACATATGGCAAGGAGGTTACTTAAAGTAGTATGAAAAATGGGATTACGACAAGTATCGACTTATAGAAATACTAAGCAGGCGGACAATATCTCTGATGTTATAAGCACGCCTTCTGCCCATCAAATGAAACTTAAAGACCCGTTAGAGATTTTATGATCCGGTAGCCATGGGCAAGTATCTTCCAATATCATTTAATCTCCCATATATTTTACATGACCACGTGCACTTATACATCCCCAATGGACATCACAACACCTAAATTTGGTTAAGTTTTCCTTAAGATCATTGTCAAGAACCACAGAAAATAATGTCTTAGATAATGGAAAAACCTCAACCATTGTACTGGAAGGCTAGTGAGTAGTTAATGAGATATTCAAATCCAAAACACCTCACATAGTTATTCTCAAGTCGTGTGTCTGATGATGGTATGTGTCTTGAAGAGTTATCTCAAACCTTATTAACAAAACATTAAAGGTTCCACTGAAGTTTTAAAGTCATAGATAATTTGACAAGGAACCATAAGCTTTAGACTTATGAAAGAGATGGTGTGTGAAAGCTCGCTCAGTCTATTTCTAGTGATCACTGTCTATAAAGTATACAACTAACTCTCGAATTTACTAAGGAAAATCACACACAGACACACACTTACGCTTGCACACACGTAAGCACACACGCGCGTGCGCACACACACACACACTAGACACACACACATATACACACAAGGTTAATATGTGACATAGAATATGTTGTGCCAATTTTTAGACATATTCCTTAGTGAAAAATTTCGGTTGTATGAAATGTGTTGCTGAAGTAATAAATGGGTGAACTTTTTTTTTGATATTGTCTTCCGCATCACTCGGGGACAGGTAATGATTCAAGATTGTAGGAGATTCAAGCCCTTATTATGTGATTTAATTTTTTGTTAGTAAGATTTATTAGGTTGATTCAGATAGATTTTGTTGTTCTAATTCTATTAGTATATAGCACACTAGGTTCTCTCTTTTGCAAGTTTTATGTGTTTGTTGCTTCTGTAGGACTCCTTTATGATAAGTTCTGGAATGGCATAACTAGTGCATTAAATCAACCTTACTCCCCAACAGGCCTTAGAGCCAAAAGATACTGTAAAGAGTGAAAGTTTTCAGCATTAGGGCATATGTGGCATAAGTGTGTAGAATGAAGCACGAAGGAGCTGGAAAAGTAGATGCGTAAGATCAAACTCTACAAGATAAAACCTGCAAAAGTTGTTGGACACTGAAATCTCTGAGTTGCTTGTCTGTCTGTGCAACAGACTTGCCACGAGACATGTTGTCCCCTGTACACTGAGTTGTACTACTTGATTCTAGTACGAGAGGATAATGTGAACGAATGTGTTGATTACATGGGCCAATACAATGGATAATTACAAGGCCTAGGATCCAACTAAAAGGAAACCCTAAAAGTTATGCATGATAAAAGGACCACTTTTATAAAAGTTATGGCGCCGTCTATGCCCTCCATCTGGTTGACCATTTTAGGTCAACCTATGGTCTTATTACATACTCCCCATGCCACTTATGATGTACGTGAGCTACTGGATGTAGATTCCTTGGATTTTACTTGGTATTCAGATCCTATGAACTGCAACGAATCAAGCTAGTTGACTCTGGGTTGGGCCCTCTAATCATTTGGCCAACGCCCCAAGTACCTTTTTCACCCCCCCTTTTTTTCTACTAATACTAGCGCCTAGAAGTGGGCCTTTGTATGTTTGGTGGCCCATCAACTTTATTTATCTTTTCATTTGTTTCTCTTTTATTTTTTTCTTTCTTTTCTATTGGTTTCTTTAATTAGTTCTTTAAATCTAATAATTATTTTTATATAATTAGTTTTTATTTAATAATTAGTTTTGTTAGTATAATTAGTTTTCTAATCAATAATTAGTTTTTTAGTCTGATTCCCAAATAGTTTTTTTAATTAAAGTTACTTACTTTAAATAATTGATGTAAACCGATTAGATTTATTAAGTGTAATTAATATTACTAATTTATTTTATTTTTAAACACATGATTTGTTTTGTTAGACCTAGTTTCTTTATTATTTGGGTGACTAGATTATTTTATTTTACCCCATTATCCCCATTCGACGAAAGTGTATTCCCATTCTCATGAAGCGTAATAGTTTTACCACTTTCATTTATTGTTCTTATTACTTTAGCTATTGGTTAATCAAGATAATGTAAGATGCATCATTTTCAAAAAGAACAAAAAAAAACATGCTCGATCCAATGTTGAGTATATCTTCCGTTTAATCCAAATTCTTTTGTAAATCACTTCAAACACTTGATCCAACGTTAAGTTGTCCATTTTCAAACTCTTTTTTCGCAAGAAATAATTCAAATGAAAATGGATTGGGACAAAAGTAATTTTCTTTTCCTTTCACGAACATTCATGTGATGGCCGCACTTAGCCTACCATTTGAGCATTCGTCAATTGCCTTAAAAAACTTTTAAATAACCAAATCAAGTTGATTCTTTCATGGACGAAAAAGGATTAGGGCGTAAGTAATTTTCTCCTCTTCTTCCTGCGTATTTGTGTGATGACCGCACTTAGCCTATCATTCAAATACTTGTCGCCCGTTAAAGAAACACGACTTAGTTCATCACATAAATTTTATAAATAATTCAATTGAAAAAGGATTGAGGGCGGAAGTAATTTTCTTCTCCTTTCCCTAATTTTCATGTAATGGTCGCGCTTAGCCAACCGTTTGAATATTCATAAGTCACTCAAAAATATTCAAACACGTCAAACTTGTTTTTTCTCCCTTGGGAGACTTTGGAAACCTTTTCGGAAACGAGAATGCTTTATCCATATCCACGTGAAACAAACAAAGGATTCAGCCTGCAAGAGCGAGAAACAAGCAAAGGTTTAAGCCACTCGATATGTCTAAAGGATTACTTCATAAAAGGAACCAACAAATAGTTCTTTAAAAAACTATGTAGCCTTAAGTTCTCCATTGCACCTGGAGATACTTAGGAGCGGGATTTTGAAATCTTGTCAGGCACAATAATAAAAACCCCTTTCTTTATTTTTCTCGCTCGATATGTAGAAGATCGCAAACTAACAATATCACATTAACATTGAATCTCAAATTTAACTAAAAGGTTTACGTTGAGTACAATAGGCGTGAGAAGTGCTAACACCTTTCCCTTACATAATCGATTCCCAAACCCGAATATGGCTGTGACGACCATTTTATGTTCTTTTAAGAGTTTTATCTATATTTTCCTTTTTCCCAAGTTTGATGCCGACTCTGTTCGAATTATTTCTCCGCGAGCGTCAAATTATAAATGAAGGATCATATTTTTCAAGATGCGAAAGCTAGCGACTCTGCTGGGGAGCTTCATTAGCTCCAAGCTAGAGAGAGTAAATCCTAACTTAGTGCAATTTTTGGTGACATTATTTATTTCTTTTCTTCCGTTGTCTTTTCTGTATATCCTTTGTGCTTTTATTTACCTTTGGTCCATGGTACCGCTAAATATGTTCTAATTGCTTGCTATACTCTGTGAGATAGACTCTCCACCCGAGTCTCGAGAAAAAACATTAAGATAGGATGTGGTTACATAGTGTTGACCTGCCAGACTCACTTATCTTGTTGGGGTAACATGAGAACCACACTTATAGTAAATTCTCTCGAGGATATTTCCAACTAGCAAGTAATTTTTCTAAGGGGGCAATGTTTTCTTGTTGGATCCGTGACTCTAAGGACCTTTTAGAATCCCGAGACAATGTGGTTGCATAGTGTTGGCCTGCCGGACTCACTTGTCTTGTTGGGGTAACACGAGAACCACACTCAGACGAGGTCCTATTAAGAGTATTTCTAGCTAGAAAGTAATTTTTCTAAGGGGGAAATATTCTCAAGATTAACTTATGACTTTGAGAACCTTGTAAAATTAGAGTCACCTTGACCATTATATATAAAGCAATAGGAAACATATTGATACCAATACTTGGATTCAATTGATGTTATCCAGATCCATATACCTGACATGCATTGGACATTCCTTGCATTCATATTATTGCATTCATGAAAACTTAGCATATGTTTTTATATTCCAGGGAACCTGAATACCAGAGTTATTAGCATTCAAATTTGTAATGGGTTCAGAAAGAAGGGGCACCCTCCCTCTAAAGTTCAAGATACCAAGTGTTGCCAGTCTAATAGCATTAGGATCCAAGCTTACCCACATGAATGAGAAAGACGTTATTAAAAGTTATGGGAAGATTATGAACTTGTTGACTGTAGAGGCAAACACAAGGGCTCTTGTTTCCCTTGCTCAGTTCTATGACCCATCTCTCCGATGTTTTACATTCCAAGATTTCCAATTGGCACCAACAATTGAGGAGTTTGAAAGGATTCTAGGAAGACACTTAAAGGACTTTAAACCTTTCACTGATTTGAGAGAAACACCTTCACCAGACATGATTGCAGTAGCCCTGAGCCTTCTAATAAGAGATGTAGCAATTTGTCTTATGATCAAAGGAGCTACACATGGGTTATCCAGAAAGCCTCTAAAAATCAAAGCTTGGGACCTAGAGAAAGAAAAGAATCGAAGAGCGTTCAACGTCGTCTTAGCCTTACAGATAATGGAGTAGTATTGTTCCCATACATAAATGACTTTATAGACATGCTTATCATCAACATTTTCATATCTGAGAATCCAGTTCCAGCTCTTCTTGTTGACGTGTACCAATTTCATCACGTTAGGCATGAAAAGAAGAAAGGAATGAACATGTGTTGTGTTCCCCTGCTTTACACTTTACTCATATCACATGTGCCTAAAGATGGTCCCTTTATGGAAGAAGATCTTAAATGGCCCCAAAAGTTGGCATCACTCTCAATAGATTATGTGTTATGGTTTCAATGGGATCAAATAAATATTTCAAGCTCTTATGATCACTATATACCTCAAATCTGGAACCATAGATATAATGCCTCTAAATCTTCAACACAAAAACCACTGCAGCCAGCTCTAAATCATAAGTATGATAATTTCTCTCATGAACCCTCAGTTGTTGTAAAGCATAAGCTACAACGTTTCCATCTTGCATCAACACACCACCTAAACTCATCAAAGAAGCATCACAATACACCACAAATAGTTCATTCGGTTCAAGTAGAATGAAAACTGGAGCTGTAGTCAACCTTTTCTTCAGCTCAATAAAACTCTTCTCACAGTGAATATCCCACAAAAAAAGTTTTACCTTTGCAAGTTAACTAAGTCAATGTAAGTGCTAACTTAGAAAAGCCTTTAATAAACCTGTGATAATATTCAGCTAAGCCTAAAAAGCTTCTAATCTCTATAACCAACTTCAAAGCCTCCCATTGTAGAACTGGATCTACTTTGGATGGATCCACAGCAAACCATCATCTGAAATAACATGACCAAGAAAGCTCACCTCTTTCAACCAGAATTCACACTTCAACAATTTAGCATAAAACTTTTTCTCTTTCAATACTTGCAAAACAAATTGTAAATGCTCAGCATGCTCTTCTTCTGTATTAGAATAAATCAGAATGTCATCAACGAAAACCACCACAAATTGATCCAGATAAATGTGAAAAATACAATTCATGTACTCTATAAACACACCAAGTGCATACCGAGTTTTGAAAGTCGTCTTCTGAATATCTTCATCCTTTACCCGACCTCAAGTCAATTTTGCTAAACGCACGTGCACCCACCAACTAATCCATCAAGTCATCTATTCTTGGAAGCAGATAATTGTTCTTAATTAAAACTTTATTCAACTGCCTGTAATCTTAATGTAATAATAAAATTGGTTAATGGTAAATCTTATATTTATGTTATAAAATTAATTCTTGAAAAAATATATTTTTATTTAAAACAAATCTTTTTATAAATATTTTTTATTTTGAAAACACTTCATTTTTAGTGTAAATATTAGGTTAGGAAATGAGGGTAGGAATAGCATTATTCAAAATAAATATAAGTTAACCACGGCATCTTCGGTTTGTCTAAGTTAAATATGATTAGATAGATATTAGATAGGATTGAAAAGCAAAATCGTAGATAGAAAGATAGATATAATTAAAAACTAGTAAAAACAAAGTCACAGTCATTAATAAATAGAATTGAAAACTAGTAAAAACAACTTTCCAATTAATATCACGTATTTCATTTCTAATTACTATAATGGTGGCGACTGATGAGATTCTAGTGCAGACAGGTGTTTGGCTTTGCTTAATTGTGTAGTTATATATATGTTTAAATAAGTGACTTAATTAATCATATGTGGTATCGTTGTATGTCATGAAAATTAAATGATAACATTATTAATCTTGTTTATCGTATACACAGCATAATTAACATTTGTTCTTCCTATGAATTATTTATCTTTTTGAGGTGTTTATATTTGTGGGTGAGATTCGTTTAGAATTAGAGGTGATTTTTTTATGATTTGACCTTAACTTGTGTGGTCTATATTAAAATCACAAAATAATGTTGTTTTTTCCACGTGAGTTTTTTAACATAAAAGATGTTAAAAATATAATATATTTTTTTGCTTGAAAATTGTATTTTGGTAGGTCAATTGCCTACTCTTGTCATTTGTTTAAGACAATAGTAATTTGAAATTTTTTTATTTTGGATATTGTTGATGATGTTTTTAGTGTTTTTAAGGAATAAAATTGGAAAGGCCAACGGTAAAAGAATTCCCAATGTAGTCTCATAAATTTACTAGGAAAATAATTTTAATATTTTCTTTAAATTATGCTTGTTTTTTCACACATTTTATATTAGATAGAAAACACTGAGAAAGAAGTAGGACAGTATATTGATAAGAAGTACAAAGCTAATAATGGATACACACGTTTTAAGATGATATAATAAATAATTTAATTGTTATGTACAGTTAGAGTAAATATTTTTTACACTGTCATTTAATTACAACCACTTATTTATTCAAAATGTTTGATTTTTATTTTAATCACATGAAAATTAATGTTAACAGATAATTATGATGGATTGATAGTGTAAAAATTTTTATATTAATCATAGATACAATTAATCTCAATACTAATATATTTTAAAATAAAAAAAATTTGCTTTCATATCTCTTGGTACAATGTTTCAGTAATAAATATTTGATGATAACTTTTTAGTTTATATAAAATTATTTAGAGAATTTGAAGTGTTTTAAAAACTGAAATTAACCGGTCAATTAGTCCGGTCAAAATTGAAATAATTACATTATTTTTTTTAGTTAAAATGACGCCGTTTTGATAATTTTTAAAATTTAATTAAAATATAAATAGATTTTATTTAAAATTTATTTGAAATAATTTTTTTTATAGAGTTCAATTTATTAAATATCACAATTATTTTGTTATTCAGTTTATGTTGCATTTAGACTTTTTCAAAAATTATTTGAATTTATATTATTTTATTTCGTGTGATGACAATGTTTAGAATTTAAATTTAAAGCATTTCTTAAAAGTTTAAGAAAGTAACTCCAAGCTACAAAACTTAAATCTAAAAAGTACAATATTGCTCAATGTGAAACAATAATTGTTTTTATAATAAGTGTTTTTTCTACTTAAAATAAATTTTGATTTTTACAATAAGTTTGGATGTCAAAATTATCCTAAAAAAGGCTAGTAGCTGATAAAAATGTGCACAAGTAGTGAAGATAGTCGGGGAAACAACAACTCAATCCTGAAAATGGGCGAAAATTATGGGTTAACCCATCATGATGGGTGTCATGCTAGTGACGACCAGCCCATCACGAGGTTGGGATCCATGACTGGTGTCATGAGGTTGACGACCACCCCATCATGCGTCATGAGGCTTGTATTTTTCTTTCGTTTTCGCCATTTTTCAGCATTTCTTCGCATAGAAGCTTCCCACTGATAAATACCTGAGACCTGAACACCATGTTAAGTATTAACAAGTGTGAGTAGTGTGGATAATAGTCTCACATTGGATAGGAATGTGGTGACTTGAGCATTTATAAGTGAGAGAACTCATACACCTATCACCTTAAGGTTTTGGGTGAGTATGTGGTGTGTCTCTCATAAAGGTGTTTCTCTAGAAAGAAAAGTCACACAATGTTCAATGATCCCTAGTGAAAATCTTCCTCTAACAGTGGTATCATGAGCCTGATTCGAGGAAAGGGGCCGACTTACTTGTATCGAAAGTATCCCCACAGGTCATGAGTTGAGTGTCTCGTTGAAGAGTGTCAACAACGGTACAAGGGTGCAATTGCACTGTTGAAGCTTTCGCTTAAGGGGGAGTATTGTAGAAGCATTGTGGATAGACTCACACTTGAGTGGGAGTGTTAAGTATTAACAAGTGTGAGTAGTGTGGATAATAGTCCCCATTGGATAAGAATGTGGTGACTTGAACATTTATAAGTGAGAGAACTCATACACCTATCACCTTAAGGTTTTGGGTGAATATGTGGTGTGTCTCTCACAAAGGTGTTGCTCTAGTAAAGAAAAGTCTCACAATGTTCAATGCTCCCTAGTGAAAATCTTCCCCTAACACATCATATTAGCATAGCACTACAAAAATCTATAAAATCGAGAACAAAATGCATGTTAGTCAAATCAAAAACACAATATATTTTCAAGTTATGAGTCCTCGTGTATGTCAATAGTGCTAGATGACCCTTGTGAGATATTAATTGAATAATCGATGTCTTTTAAATTCAAGACCTGTAACAACCATGCAGCATACAAAGCTTTAATTGTAGTTATGACATCAGAGGTGGACGTATCTGGGGCCAATTTGTTTTAACTTAAAAGAAAATATTTTATCTCTGTATTTTTAAAAACGGTTTTCATAAAAAAATTATTTTTAATATTATTAGTTTTCAAATTTTGTTTTTTTAATCGAAAGATTAATTTTGACATCATATAATATCAACATACATTATTGAAGATCAAAACATAGTCAAAATCGTAATTTTTTTCAAAAAGTTATATCTCAAAAATGATTTTTATAAAAAAAACTATTTGAAATAACTTTAAAATTAAATGATTTTTTTAAATTTTAATATCCAAAAAAATGTTACAAAAAAATGATAAAACACCTAAAATAATATTTTAAGAATAACTTTTCAAAACAAATTTTTATTTGAAACTTTTATGAAAATATACTTTGTAAATTCTCTTTACACAAAAATATGTAACAATATAAATATCATTTTTGAAAAAAGTTGAAACAAACAAGCCCCTAATCTCTGAGCGAGAAGTGATTTTTAGCTTGTAACAAATCAGGTCGCTGGCGAATATCAGAACAAAGAAGCCCAATTAGTAAATTATCTACAAAGGTTTTGTGGATCCTTGTTTTGCAGGTGACATGTCCTTAAAAAGGACAACATCTTTTGTTGGCGTTTTGATGATGACAACTTATTCATGATGGCAATCTATTTAACAAGTCAAGCTATAGTTCATAAATGGATAAAGATGTAAACCTAAGTACTAGGGTTTGATGGGCTTGACTATCTGATGATAACAACTAAATAAAGTATAAGCTTAAGCCTAATCTCTAGTGAACTCAAGCAAGTTTCCACAAAAGAAAGCATCTGATAAAATCGTGAAGTGAAAGAAAACCCAACCTTAGTTACTC